GTTGTCTATCGATAGCAAGATCGTCAAAGTTTCCGACAAATAATTTTGAGTATGATCCTATCGAAGGATTATTTTCAGGAGAACAGAATAAGCCAGAAAAGCATATGTATAAAGACTGCTTCTATATATTACAGAAGTGAAAAAAAAATCTCAAATTAGTAGGTAACGGCGACCCGATGTCACTAACTTTTTATGACAAGCCCGCTTGTAAGGTTCTCGCCAGATGAATAGCGTTCTTCAATGGAGCCCAGCGCTCATTTCGACAATAGTAGATAGATTTTAAGATAAATGAAAATGTTAGCTATCAATAAATACCCCAGTGAGCTAAATCCAGGCGTTTAGGTAACCGGGTTCTCCTTACTAGTGGAGCTAATTGTGACCAGGTTCCATCAGGTACTGAACTATGCTCATTAAATGGTTCATGAAAGCAAGGCTCGCAGCGTGAACGTTCGAGGCGTTGTTGCCTACACTAAAAACATTTTAATGTGTGATTCGACTTATGCTTATGGATGTACCCGGAATCTGAAGCAGGTTTTTATCAAGCACGTTAGTGCTTTAAAGGGTCATAAACACATTCAATATGACTGGGATCCTATGGCAAGCATTCAGCGGGTTAACACGATAGATGGCTAGACAACACTAAGGCATTCGCTAGGACAGTCACCTTGCTTTTCATGTATGGCAATACTAAAATCAGCAGCGCAAACAATTAGTACATCAGCTTTTTTGTGAGTGGAACTTCCTGTATATTGAAACTGTGTAGTAGTTAAATGTTGTTGGCATGTATATATTCTAAATACGGGTCCATTCGTCCTGAAAAAGCTCTTCATTGCTTGTTGTAGTTCGGGTTGTTATATATCAAGTTCTTATCGTTTCCACCGCTATGTAAAGCGGAGGTTCAATAATGGGTTGAGCGGTAAGTACTTCGAAGAAGGGACCCGTCCTACCCTATGGCATACGGAGAAAAGCGTTCTCGATTTTTTTTCTCTAGTACACTAAAGACAGTTACAGGTAACAACCCATAGAATCAAATATAGTGGTTAATCCAAAAGCAACTGAGAGGGGTAACATCGAGCAATAAAGCAGGCAGGACTTACCAAACTGAAAATTGTTGCCAATTGATATCTGTTGACCACCTGTTCTCTCTAACAAAGTATTGAAAGCTTCAATAGAAAAAAATTCGCATATGTCGATGCTTGTATTATAGGCGCGTGTATAAATCTAACACGGTCTCTATGAATCAAGGCCTGAGATTTGTTCCAAGCTTTTTGCCTAGGAAGATGTTATACATTTTCTACTCAAAAGTTCATAAATAAAACCGTAATCGTTTACCCAATTTCACAATTGGAAAAAACCTTACTAATTTGTTTTTCAGGCCGAGAACCATTCGACAGAATATACGCGAAGGTTGTGTGCGTTTGATAATAACAAGCAACTTATAGGCCAAGTTCGTGCTGTTTCAGCTAAAGTAGCTTTTTTTCAAGCACCGTATTCAAGTGGACAGTCACAAATGACGTTAAAAACGAAGAAATCTAATACTTAATAGCAGATACGATTCTGGTCTTAATTAATTTAAGTACATAACTTAATTTAAGTACTCACTATGTACTTTGGGATCCAACTGCAGCTCAAAAAACCACAGGCTGAACAGTAGAAATTCATACATATTTATGTATTAGCCGCTACATCATCGTATAACTGCCTTCAATCGTTTTAAAACGTGTCCAATACTATTACTTCGATTAACAACATTTCAACTATTTAGAACAGATAGTTTTTTTTTTCTTATCTATCTATGGGTTCTCAACTGCCAAGACGTAGCTTAATGTTAGTTTTTATCTAACTATTTGATCTTTTCACTTAAAAATCAAAACTTTCGCCTCATGCTCAAATCATCGATATAAGTAGGGTAAATTTTCGTAAGAACTCGCACCCATTTACCAAGTAGGTACAAGTATCAGCGCTATTTCATCGCTAAACAATCAGGGACAATAATTTAGGGGGCGGACAAATATGGTGGTAGGAGAGGGCGCCGCATCAAGTTTGTTTGAAGGGGGGCTTAATATAGATAAGTTGGGAGAGGGAAAAGGACATTCGTCATCAAGCGGGTTCTCGGTCGGGCGACGAACTAATTGTGGACGAACGTTTTGGTTTATGCTCAAGTGATACAATGCAATGATTTGAAGTGGCTTAAATTTATCAAAATATATTTTTTACAAACGATACTTATCTTCTTTACGCTTAGTTTGGAGTAATTTGCCAAAAACAGCTAAAATTGACAGATGTATTGTCATATGTTATTATTAAAAAATCTGACATATTTCCAGAATGCAATTTGCACGAACGAGCGAATGTGAGTATGTCTTTGTATAGCGGTGGCCAGTTTACTCAAACTGAAACAAAGCCAGAGAATCACACGCGCTTATTGAAAGTCAGAATACTCTGTGGCCCTTCATCGCATATAATCGAGGTCATATTATTTGGCACGAGACGACTTGACCATTTCCTCAAAAAAGGAACAGATACCTAAATTCCAGTTTCATTTGGTCAACGATACGCCACCAGAACATCTAAGTTAAGCTGTTCAATAAGTGGTCAGTAGTAGAGTTCACGTACGCATACGTATGGTGCTTGAAGAGGGAGAGAGCTCAAAGCTGCGTTGTTTCGAAAATGACAAAATCACGGGAAAAAAGACGGATCAGTACCATGAAAAGCACGTATACCTGCATTTATAAGAGTCCTCAAATTGACTCAACAATTACGTAACACTTGTGAATAGTCCATAGAGCACGATCCTTTAATGCGTAGTAAGCGTTAACGTATCAGCAAATACATCATAGTAGAAACTGTCATAAAGAACGAACCAATATTTTCCAATTAGGCGACCTCAAAAAGTAGCATTCTGTATCTAGATGAACTATCTAGTCACAACAAAGCCAACGATTACCATCAATAAATTACATTGTTATTGATATCGAATTTTACTGAAAACGCTAGACAAATCTGCATGATGAGTGCTCGAATACTGTACCCCTTGCAACTATGAGCTTCGTTTAGTTGTGTGACGTTAGTTGAGCCTTACTGTGAGCACACTACTTTTTTGTTCTATAAACCATAGCAGACACGATAAACGTTAGAAATCTACTAACTGAAAAAATAACGTGTGTGCTTCACGTAACCGACAGGCCTAGCGCGAAGTCAGTGTCCCATATCGCGTATATATATATTGGTTAGTGTTTTGAGCCTTACGTTGAATGCCGCCTTAGTCAAGCATTGCCTGATATATAAGTAGTGCTGTGTTTCTTAAATTCGTACGATACGCAGATAATACACAGGTAATTATGATTTCAACCTCAAGCAATTATTGCACATCAATAATAAAAAGTATCGAAGATATATTTTCTAATCTGTTGCCAATTAACAATCTTGGTGCCCACCTTCGCTATCTGCTAGGTTTCCTCTCGCTCACAAAACCTCTTCGTCCGATTATTCTCCCCCCTTTCCCCCCCAGTACCTCCTAACCACCAGGCGTCACTACTGCTCGCGACGAAATCTCGAATTGATAATGTGGCTGTTTTCGTGTTCCTTCCCAAAAAAAAAACATTGCATGTTGATGAAGTCAAGTGTCGTGTAATTCCATTGAGATCTCAACGTTTCGCATTGTCTATATTTGTGTGGTGAGTCGTTTCTGAGCTATCGGAGGATGTATGTATATATAGTAACTGCGGCAATTTGTCTTCATATGGGCAGATGAATATTCTCTATTCATTCTGTGTTCGTTAACTAATTAACATGATTTCTTTTATTTGTGACGAAAAGTCCTGCAGCAGCTTGAGGGATTGTAGCATGCTGAATATGGCTATAGCGGATATTCTGTTCTTTTCTGTCATATAGTCTTGTATAAAGCTTGTCGCCTGTAGTTAGATTTAATGCATTGATTTGCTTGAGTAGAAATTTTAGTAATATGTCGAAGTGCTACAGCAGGAATTAGGTTTTTCGAACAAAAACCTCCCAAGGCTGCTCCATCAACGGTCATGTTAGTGCACACTTCTTTAGCATCTGAAGCTCTACTCGCCGAATCGAGCCCCTCCGCCCGCCTCCCCCCGATTCCGAAACCACCAGACGAAACCTCCACCACTGGTCTTCGTTGAGATATCATTACTGCCACGTTGAGATGCAGCACCGCCAACACTGAATATCTTGCGAAGAAGAGTGCAGGCACAGTTACTTGGCAGTGATAAGTTGAATGTTTTCCTAAACTGTTCGTAGCATTTCATTTGCCTGCAGGAGAATGTTCGAGGTCAAACGCTGTACGATCGTTGTTGTCTGCCAGGACTGGAGCAGAGCAGTAACTTGTGCCTGGTTTCTATTAAGGAAAGGACATAGAAACCAAAGTGATGTGAGCTAAATTTAGACGTAAAATGGAAACAGTACCGGGCAAAGTGTGCCAAGCAACCAATCATAGGAAATGGAAAATGGCTAGCAATTGTAATCTAGCTGTTTCCCTAAGAGTACGTTTGATGAGTATTTGAACAACAGTAGCAAACTGTTCTGTGAACCTGAAGCTCAGTGAGTGTTTCTGAATTCTATGAGGGTCCACTGTGGCTTTTAAAAATTTTTACTATTTTGTTTAGCTAGCTGTTAAAAGCATTTTAAATCTACTGGTAAACTTAATTCTGTAATTTCTGCACACATAGCTGAATGGGAAAGGGAACTCCCAACGATGTCCTATTGTTATTTGCGGTGAGAGTACTTCTGAGAATATCAGGTAAAAAATATCGAATGACTCCAAGGTCTGTTGCGTTCTTGAGTGATCTATAAGGAGAGGTTCACGCCCAGACCTTACATCATGCTCAGGTAGCACAATTCGACTTTACTACGCCTAGTGTATCAAGGACTCCAACAGTTATTATTTATCTATAACACACCGCTATCGGTATACGGCAATTGAGCTATCGATACCAAATACGTACATATGCCAGATTTACTACCTGATTTTCCAATCCTAGCCGATTACTGGAGTCAGCTGTCACGTACGGAACCCTGTATATTCTTCCTCTGGGTCAGTGACCATCAGATTGCCACCAGCTGAGCTATTCATTTCAACGGGCACTATAGATAGCATCTCCTTTCATGGGTTCGAACACGATACGTAAGAACAAACGACACTGGTTAAAGCAAGACCTATAAACAGTAAGCATAAGATTCGATAAATGACATCGAAAATTTGTCTAAAAAAGCCTTTTGTTCGCTTTTATCTAAAATGATCTAAAGAAGAATGCTCGAACACAAGGTTCCGAACGCTTTTATGTTAACAGTCCTTTATTATTCTGTACGTGATTGTTTGCAAATCGCTTTACAATACCGTCTGTCGATTACCTGAATTTGGCTATCTAAATTTTTCAGGATTCATAATTTCATTTGCTACTTCCAGGCAGCTTTCGAGTTGGTGCCCAGAGGTGCTTACACCGGCCAAGATGAATGATTCTATAAATGTTCTCCACGTTCTCGCGATAGGGAATAGAATAACTATCGACGATGCAGTGGTTAAACTCCCACCCTTTATACAACAATCGACCTGGTCCAGGGAAACGGCCCAACATCACTTTTATTCTCTATCTTACTGCGTGATTAAATAAGAGGATCGAGAGATATAATCAGAGTCATCTTGTATGCAGATGATTTAGCGATATACGGATCAACCGGGTTTCATTCAAGGTCAACAAGTTGTAGCCCGGCTCCTCGTGGTAGTCATAGACTAACACTGACCGTAAACCCAACCACGGTGGGGGCGATGAAGTTTCGAGAGGGAACAGGATAGCGGCTGATGCTTTGTATTTTATTAGGTCGCGTCTTGCTTTAGTAAACCGGTCCAGTGTTGGAGCTGCTCTTTTTCACGAACAGCAGGCGTTTCATAACATACGTCACCGAACATAACACCCTTGGCCACATAGGGCGATTGTCTCATCGCTTGTCACTCGTAACCACTTTCAACGTGTTCGATAGTTCAAAGCAACTCTGATTGTAACGCATGGGATCTGAGTCATTTGAGAAGATCCTTAGGATTAAGAGTTTGGAACAATCAAATTGCGTCAAAGCCTCCCTCCTCAAAAGAGCGCTGGGACTATACATATCGCCTAACCTCGCGTGTTCTCTATTATCCTGGGATCTACGTCGTTGTTTTGAGCTCCTAGTAACGGTGGTAAGACAATAGCACGTGGAAAGAAAAATTCGCGGAGACTGGTGGAGATTTTTTTACTTCGGGTATGATGAAGAACAACGAGCGGAAAGGAATGAACTAGGTAAACAGACCTGTCGTTATCTGCTTTGCCGTGTATGTGTTCTGCTAATGGCTCTGCGAGAACCTAGATTTTCACAGGCTTCGAGATACATGTAGGTGCTCTGTGTCCTGGCTGAACCTCCGAGAAGGATGAGTTTGAGCTGCTGAAAGTGTGGTGGAGAAGCTACACAACTATGTCACCATGAATCGAAGAAAATACGTCGCAGCTTCAAAAAAAACATTGCCATAAACGTAGCCCAAGAAGCTTATTCTTAGGTATGCAGAAACCGTGAAACTTGTCATACCTTTATGTAGAATTGGTTAAGATATAATGTTAATTTTTAACAACCTACAGTGTTAATTTTATAGATTATATAAGGATCAGCTTAAACTTAACGCAGTTCAAAGTACCGTTTAGAGTCTAACTCAAGTGAGTAATTGATAACTTCATCTGCTGCACTCTTTGTACTGTTGTCATTCTTAGTGTGCAGACAAGTGTTAAGATTAACCGATATTAATCATATGTGTCTACAAAGAAGAAGACAACTAGCCTTAGCTTGTTGCCCCCCCCCCCCCCCAGGTACAAAAGTCTACCAATTTCCGTTGATTTCTTCGCTTACCTCCGCTTCCCTTATAGGCGTTGTGCCCCTTCCCGCTGCCAGTAACCACCAGGTGTTATTTCCGATAGTCCTACTGATGTCTTGCCTTCATCTGACTACTGATACTGCATCTTGAAGCACATTCTTGCCAAGCCTCTTACCACATTCTTCGAAGTACAAGCTGTTTTTAGGCTGCTATCGACATCGGCATGGCATTTGGCCGTTGTAGTAGAAAGGCTGAAGTGCAATATTTTGTGGCTGATAAGTAATTCGCGTTCGTTAATGATTTTAGACAACTTTCTACTTTTGCGAATAGCATTTGTGGTAACAGATTATCTAATTTGCATATGAAACTATATTTAGCGGCAGTACTGGTAAAACATTTTTTAAGTATATCTCATTTGTTTGGTAGGATTTAGAAGAGCAAGGATCGGCCAGAATTTTAAAACTCAACCAGATACTAGCGATTATTGCAAGGTAAGTGGATTTAGCCAAATGTTCGTTGCTTAAATTCTAAAACACTAATCCGAGGGCTAGGTATGGCATCAGTTATATTTGCGGAATTGTCCAGCTAAGGGCAGGGTTCGTGTTCCCTTATCGGTTTACTCTAATTCTAATATATATAATTTGATCAGAAATTTTAATTTATTACCTTCTTTAGTAAATCTTATTAGCTGGTTTTTTTGGTAGAGAGAGTGTTAACATCTCTGACCTTCCTGACTTTGGTGTGACCGAACCAGAAGGTTTAAAAGGCCACCAGCATGAAAATGTGCCAAACGTAAACTAGCTTTAATGCATTAAGCTGGCCATTTTTTAGGAGAGTATTTGTTACGATACATAAGCCTACTTACCATTATGCCGAGTTGCTAGCTGAATTATATATAAGAGGAACATTACATACAATAAAATTAAGACCACGATAACTTGTGTAATAAACTGAAAGTAATATTATAAATAATACTGTGAAATAAATAAAACTATAATCTGTGATGTTACCATTAAATCTAGCCTGTTGGTGCTATCAGTTCTAACTTCGAGCAATTCTGAGTACTAGTAGTTGAATTAATTTTCTAATTCATTCTTATGGTTGTGTATATATCTATAGGACGATCATAGCCGACGTCGAAAAATCTTTGTAGGAACTTTTCGTGCTTGTTCTACACTGCTCTCACTTTAATGATAAATACCTTATCTATTAATATGAATATTGAATTTATTGGATAACTGATATTGAGTTAAATAGTTAAAATTACTTTTTTTTTGTGCCTGACGACTTACAGAACCTCGACCATGACTACAATTTTCTCGTTTTGGTACGAAATACAGCCATCAAAAATCTCTGCATCGAAAGTAGCGACAGCCAGGTGCCCTTTATCATACTCCAGAGAACTTCGCCCACCATAGAAGCACCTTTCCTTTTGCCCGCCCGATGACGTCATCTTCCTTCTATTATAAATTTTGACTTGTTCCACACCCATTATATGTTACATTAGATATATATATAATATGTATATTAGATATTATTATACCTTTTACTACTACTAAGTTAGAAATAATTCTGGTTTGTAATTTGTTATCGTTGGTGGGGGCTAGGCAAACGACCGGTATTTTAAATTGTTTCTTTTTCTAATCGTAAGTGGTGATCTAAAACGTCATATAGGATTTCCACATTATTATCATATATATCTAAAGTAATGCGGTATTGATAATTGCTCAATTTAACTGAGCGGAAAACGCCCGCGTAAGATAGCACTATTTAAATCCGATTATATTCTCTTTCGGATGCATTACTGGTTTAATATCATGTCGATCAGCACGATTCAGGATTTGTTTGCTGGGCGATGAAGCTGCGATCATTCTAGGTTGTGTAAGAAAACCTCATTAAAGCGCTAGTACAACAATCGGTTCGGATTAGCTGCGGTATACGGTAGTTTAGACGAAAAAAGATAGTCGTCTGCGCCAGGTAGCCGTCTGCATGTTGACAAACGGTCGCTATTACGGTCAAAGGCAGGCTATGCCCCGTCAGAGTGAATGCTGTCGTGGATGAGACGCGGGCTTTTTTTGACAATACCCAAGTAAAATAAGCATTAAATTTTACTTACGAAAAATACGTAATTTGCTAATAACTATTATTAGTATCTATTGAATAATGCGTACAGTTTGCATATATTATTGGAATATAGGGGGTACTCATGGAAGGGCTTATGTTGAATCAAATTTTGTAGGCCTTTTTGCTCTTATTTGCGCAAATCTAGTAATTTCAAACGATTGCAGTTCCACTGTGCGTTATTAGATTTGGAGAAGTCATTTGTCCGTAATGGGTCACGTTTTCGATTACAAAATGAAGGCACTGAATCAGGCCTCGAAGATGTAAACATTACAATGTTGAATTGAAACAACGTGCTTGAATTGAATTAATGAACGAATGAGTTGAAACCAGGATTACTATACTTTACATGTAACTGGTTGGCATCGATGTTGGCTAACCGACGAATACTGCAGATGATTCGGATTGGCAGCTACAGCTGCTGGAATATTTTATCATAAACGGACCCGTTGTACGGAAGAGATAGACATCGCGGTAAGGCGTTTCAACAGAAACATACATTGACATGTCACGCTAAGCTTGCCAGAAAACGCAGTAAAAGACAGGTATCGCTATACTTACTTAGAATAGCTGGTACCGCATTTGGTCTTTGAAAGTGCTGCTTTATTTATACGATTCCTCTATTTAGCAGAGTACATTACCGAAATTCTGGACTATAAGTCGATTTACAGTAAAACGATTCTCATGTACATTTGACTCGTGTGCATGATTTGTCATCCCAATAGCATCAAAGATGCCCGATTTAAAACGCAAAGAAATTGTTACTTCTTTGCCTTGAAAGACTGTAAACGTTACCAGACTTATAGTACAAAATGGTTGAAGCCTCTATAAAGTAGTACACCATTTCACGGGCCATAGAACCACATTTTGCGGCGCCTAGCTATTTGCATGTCCTGTTGAACAAGCAAAAAGTCTTTTTATTTGTAATTCGAGTCAAAGTAAACTGTAAGGGAATAGAGGGGTGCATAATTTAAACATGACGTTAATTGAAAGGTGTGGTTACTTTATAAAACTTTAGCATGGAAGAAAATCTTTGAAGCGAGAGCTAGAAGGACCGAGTCCGTCACAATACTATTAACAAAGAGTCTAACTCCACTTTGGCTAAAACTAAGAAAATCACTTTAAAAAACTAAGAAATAGAGTTACTTTGTGACTTATGTCCGGTAGTTAAACTGCTCAGCATTCGTTTAGATGCTTTCAAAACGAAATGTATCTATGCCCAAATAGATTTTTATCAAATACACTTAGGAGACGTGTAGATCTCAAGTCGAACAAAAAGAAACTAGCCACAAAGAAAGGCTTTTTCTTGTTTAGTCTTTTTATCCGATTTCCGATATATATAATTTAAGGTCGAAACTAATTGCTTAATATACAAGTATATAACATACATGATCATTGCATTTTTTTAGTGCCACATTTAGTTCTAAACGCCTCCGCATACCAGGAGGGGAATTTCTATCACAAGTACTGAAATCATGTGGTGTATATGACTAAAACATTGGTCTGCCTTTATTTACTATACGTACAGAGATCAAATAGATGCTCAATTTTTTTTAATGTATCATAACTCCATAAGCAGCACATATTCTTTTAAATACGTAAGCCGTTATAAATTCCATCGGGCATGTACATAGTTTATCACTGACTGTGTTCAACATTGAGAGCGGGAACGATTGCGTCAAATTAGTTTGGTACTTTTTTCAGTTACGTGATAATAACCATGTGAAGCGGCGGGCAATATCAACTAAAGAACCGGCTCTTATCAAACAAAAAAATATAATGGCAATCGTTGGATTACGTTATAGATTAATTTGACAATGATTTTTTAATTCGATGAGATTTCTTAGATTTTAAAGACGAGGTAATAGTCAATCTATGATAGGACATTTTGAAGTTACATCTATCCAATCTTGCTTTCACAAAGAAAGGTAAGTTCCTGGTAGCGGACGTTGATACCTCTTTTTACTATTTTGATACCATGTTCATACCATTATGTCTATTAATACATATAGTGCACAAATTCGTGATTTTTTACTGCATTGTACTGCACCTTACAGTTAATAGCAGCCTTATTGTCTTTAGAACGCAGAGAATCGACTGGTGCAAGTAACCAGTAAATGTTATACAGAATATAGCTTTGAGATGTCTTATGAACTGTCTTCAAGTTTTAGATTTGACCTATTTCGTATTTACTTCAAACTTTTCTTACACGTTGATACTAATGTATGCGATAAGACAGGTTGCTCAGGTCCCTAGTTGGCCTGCGCCCACCTTTATTGTTTGTCTTAATTGTGCGTAGCGAATCTCTTCATTGATCAAAGATTAAGAGAGTTGGCCAAATGCAACAAGAGGTGTGGCGTAGCAAATATTAACTAATCTTATCACTGCTTTTACTTTTAATCGTCTGCAAAACTTATTTCTTTTTAAGTATTTTTTTTTACTATTTTTAAGTAAGTTCTACGTAGTCGACGCTGAAGTTATTGTTGAGTCCCGACCTATGCTATGCTATTTATTGTGGTAGTGGTAGTAGTAAAAGTGCGCGCTAAGAAGTACATTACAGAGAGTAACGTTATTATTATTGGGCATGAATTTACTTTATACTCTAGCATATAAAGTGGATCGTGTTTTGTTCAAACCGGGTATGCCCAACAATGGTCATTTCAGCTCAGACACGTAGCATTCATGCATAAGTTAACGAAGGTAAATCGTTTTTGAAATAGTTTAAGAACACTATAACCGTATCCTTCTTAATCATGATTACTCACTTTTCACAGAACTTTGTTTGGTAACTTAGGATTTATCATTAGATCCTATAAAGCGGTCATCAATGTGATAAACCAATATTTTTTGTGAACTTTTCACGTGCTATCAGTACGTTATTTATTTTATTTATGATTTCTGAAGTTAAAAGAAATCCCTTTAATTAATTACTTTAATATTTAATTGAGCCTGTGAAATAAATTGGCACCTACTTGATCTGACTATAAAGATATAAAGCCGACAAACAATACAATGGCCTTGGTAAATACTGTTTGATTTTTACCTCGACCACAATTCGACGAAAGACATTTCTTTTAAAAAACTCATTTTGAAATTCATGAAAAAAAACTCATTTTAAAATTCAAATAACCTGCACGTATATGTTGTGATGTTTGAATACGGTTGTGTATCTTGTCGTATGCATTGATTTCATTTGGCCGACAGTGAACGACTGGATTAAAGAATAATAACAATATCTTTTAACTAAATATTTACACGCTTTTAATTACTTAAAAATATAAACCTAAAAGAATTTGAATAAATTGTATTATGCAAAAATATCTTTTCAATCAATTCGGACTTACTCGTCTTTGTTCCGGTGCTTTGCTAACAAACTGTTCCACCATTGGATTTACATAACGAATTTGAGCTGAGGCAGACGATTGAAGTAACTTTGATTTTCTAAAGCCCTTCCGTGCGCTCTTCGTAAACCCCGATCATAAACACCTCTTTTTGTTATGTATCGCTCTGAATTATTTGTTTTCAGGAGCCCTATAAGAACTACTACATCGAAAATGACCTCGAGCCATCTCGCATTGACTTCCTCTTTGAAGTCCTTATTGCCCCTCGGATTGTTATTGGTAAGAACCTTACAGTAGGACACATGTGTAACAGTTAGTATACTTTCGCAATTTGGCGAAGTTAATCATTTCAATAAATTAGGCAAGGCCTGTAACATTTCTATAGGCCGCCGTTGGCCACCTGCTCGAGCGTGGTGAAAACTGTGTCAGCCCCATGTGATACAACGGGTTCACATGCTTTCTTTTATCCCATAGGTCGTCTCTACGTTACGGAATATGATCAAGGACCATCTACATCATTATTGTAATCAGGTCATATACGAGCCTTTTTTTACTAACACATAGGTGTTTCCAGGAATCTTTGTCACCATGAGCTTAAGTAGGTCCCTTTGACAGACAACCTTCAAGTGCTTCGGCACAAATTTCGTCTCGTTTGTAATTAATTTGTTTTCCATGTAGCCCCATGCCTGGCGGTGTATGTGCGTGGGCGTTTACAAGTCTCACACCCAGGCTAGTGCTATATATTTCTACGCAAGAATTAGGTTTGATACCACGTTAGGACCAACCAGTACTGCCAAAGCTCAATGGAGCTAAAGTTGCTCCGGAGTGATGGTTATCGTGGTACACTCTCGAATACTTGCCCATGGACCTCACCTAATCTACGTTAATAGGTACGAGATGCGAGTAACAATGTTGAAAACACCATATCCCGGATATCCCCATGTGGTCCCACTAGGAGACCCAACACCTCAACCAATATGAATTTGTGCGAACTACCTAGGCGACACGTTGACAGAAACCGGTTTGTTTTCAATAATACCTGCATTGCGATTCCGCCTCAGCTCATAGCTTATCTAGAGAATTATTCAACAACTAATTTAACTATCATTTAATGTTTAGTAGGGCTAATTAGTGAGACTAATGGCAAACACGTTTCGTATTGATTGAATTATTGAGATTGTGCGCAACTCCAGTTCGTACAGCATCACTACTGCTGGCCATATTACGATAAGTAAACTATATCTCCCAGTTTAAAGACAGTTTCGCACTTAGGGCAACACACAATCGCTACGCGTACTCCTAATTTCTGCATCATACCCAAGTAGCGCAGTCAAGGAACCAATTAGCATTGAGTCATAACCCTGCACGCAGCAATGTCCCTATCAGTCAAAAACAATAGTAGGGGGCCTAATATAATACTAAGTGAAGTTAACTTTTTCACAACTTAGGAAATCCGATTAGTTGAGTTGACAAATGGCGCTACTCGGATATTTGATTTTTCGTGATGTATAAATCTGTAGATAGGTATAAAATACATCTTATGCTCGCTCGCACTAACCATTTGACTGTAATTAGTGAATATGATATAGGAGTTTGCGATATATGCAAATCATAGACATCGTTTTGATCAGATATATTTCGATTTTTCTAAGGCGCTTGGCAAAGTACCCATGCTAGGCTAATATCAAGATCAAATGACTTTCATATCAATGCTAGAGCTATACTTGACCATGCTGCTATTTAACTAGTAGAAAACTGAGAGCAGGACGATGCAGAATAAGCAACTTTTTGGCTAATCGTCCATCAGCGGTAACGTAAGTTATCAGGAAGGCCCTCCTCTGCTTCGGGTACCACAATATGCGCTTCTTGCTACAATTCTACACGAATTTTATGTCCGTGATTTAAATTTGTTGCTCTTTTAATACACTAACCGGCAATAAAAGTAAACTATTGAGTCTGTACATGGACATCGCTACAAGCTGGGACGAATCCAGTGACCGCCTAAACTCGACTAGTTCCTGGACGGTCGCCAATATTGCACTTCTTTCGCAAACTGTATACAGGAGATTAGCACATAAGTAATTTAACTTGAAATGTATCTATAACCTAGCAATCTATAATACGAAAGATCCACAGATTAACAAGAGTTACCAATAGCTAGTGAGCCCGGGCTGCCCAATTTGGCAAGGTGTGAATAGATAACATCTCTGCCATCTATTCACTTTAGTAGACGGGATTTCTATCGCAAACTAGACTTCGTAGATCTTCATTCAGTGGTGAGGTGAACGAGGCAAATAATATTAATTACCTGCTTAGTTTCTTATATGCCCGTCTAACTTTGTCAGTGATCATATTTGTACTCCGATCTGTAACTCTTGCCGATCGCAGTGATGCTGCCATTTATTGTATATAAATTCACTACCGAATTGTATATATTGCCTTGTAGTAAATTGTGCATTCTGTCTATAAGTAACTACAAATTCTGTTGTGTTTCATTCAAAATTTGGACTTTCAGAGTTGACGATAAGCGGCTTCACGTAGAAGTTTAAGTATAAAATTTATTTTGTAAGTATGAAAATGTTGTAAGGCCCACGATCGGGTAGAAACATTAAGAAAAACAGCGTTTCATGCATATATTTAAATATAGACACCCGAAAATGATAGTATTCTTAACAACGATGTCATTAACACACGAATATATCTCTTGCTTGTGTGAACTAACACGGCTATATACCAAATTGTTTATATAATTTAGTTATATACGCCAGCATATTGATTTCACTATATTATTAATATGTACATTTCACAATCATTGTCTTTCATGTACAGTTATTTTTGATATATATTAGTTATTGTGTGTTTCGCTTTACCATTAGTAAGATACTTAGTGAAAAATGTGCACTTCAGATTTACATTGTAAATTTACATGAAGGCCCACCCGCGCGTTTTCCTGGATGTTCACATTATAACAATCCCTTTCTCTGGTATGCAGCTATGGCGTGTTTTTAGGTGCTTCTGTAGCAAGTACCTGCGTCAGTTGTAAATGGCATAATCCGCTCCAGTGGATCTCGCTCCTGGGGTGTACGTCGGCAGTGAGATTACGTAGTCTGTCTCTTTTTCATCCAGCCTGAACCACCAGTGCAGCAAATCTTCCCATCCCCATTCCACAACATTAACATTGATGTGGTAGGGAAATGTATTTCGTAGGTAAGTGGTTCATATGTCTGGTTTGTATTCGATATCAGGAATTTGTATGGATGAAGCTGTGCCGTTGTCTCAGCTGTTTAGAAGTGATTACCATGGCGCTAGGAACCCCTTTAGATGAAGCTTTCGTCATTTAGCTTTCGTCGATTTTGGAGTAAGACAATTAGTCATTTGGAAGAATAGCACAAATCTTTTGCGATCCCGAAGTTCTCGTTATCATGGTAGATTTTTCCCGTAAATCAGAGAACGAAGCAAACTATTAAATTGTTGATTTAGATAATAGTACTCGCATAAACTCGCGAATGTACAGTGTGTACACTGTAGATTAGGCATCCTTGTTCACTATTTATTAACCTGTACAGTCGAGTTAACACACGTTAAGTGGTTTATATAATTTGTGCTCGAGTTCAAGCGGCAGTCCTCGCACACACGGCTGATAGTGGCTCGGCGACGCAGAGCAAAGCAGGAGCGTAGTATGTTGTATTTAGTTGTACCTGGAAAATGGCTAAATGACTCATGAGCATATAATAAAATCATTATATAGTTTGATTTCATAGAGCTTTCCTTGACAATATATATATAAGAAAGATATAGTCTACAAGTCTGGTTTGTATCCAGGTGCCGCTGTCTATCAGCCAGTGAGAATCAAATACATTTTCAAGTGAAGCAATATCTTTATATATTAATTACAACAATGCTAGCCAAACTTGTGACAAATGTGAGAGTAGTGTTGTCTACATACAGAACAATTTAGCTCATATGACCGGGTGAGTTAACAAATGGTGCTACCCTGGCATGTCATTGTCGGCACAGCGAAAATGACTATAAAATGCATATATAGTAAGGCAAAAAGAAAGATAATAACAGGACAAGACTTCGCGGGGCAGCAATTCCCATATGTCATAATTGTCCCATAAGCAAATCCCACATCCCAGCTCATGGTCTGTTATAAAGTTATTTTTTAAACACTTACTTTTATTTTATATAAGCTCTCTAATAAATGAAGACTGCTGGCACAACTGATCCTACCATATAGTACAACACGCCTAATAATCGTTGTTTTTTAGTCCTTTTATAGTACTCTAGTGCTCTCTATGTATCGAGCCACTACTTGACTCTTTCGTACTCATACGATATTTTTCTACCAACATTGTAAAGAAAATTTCCGATGTGCCCTCCGAGATGTACAGAATTCGGGGTTCAAATCCTGAGCGCGGCAGCCGAATATATGGATGAAGGAGCGTAAAATCTGCAGAAAATATATGGTCAACGTAATGAAAGGTCTAGTTAAGAAATTTACTCATGCAGCCTGGTGGATGACGTAATTGCTTGCTGATCCTAGGGTTCTAAACCCAAAAACCTAGGTTGGAAACCGGCCATAAACACATTTCACTGTATGCTGGGGACCAACTATTTCCTGAAATGATTAACGGCGACACCGGACGTAAAACTCGCAACATAGGAGCCGTAATGACATAAAAAGTGTATACTTATATAATGTGGTACGTAGGGGTGACACACTGTGCTTTTGTAAGAGCTATCTGATTGACTTTAACATTTGAGCACCCTCCTTTGTTGCTTTTGAAGAAAACAAAAAAAAAAAAACAATTTTATATTAGTGAAACTTTGGCATGAGTTTCATTCGAATGAACAATTTTAGGTAGTGCTTGAGATATTTTATAGGTTAATTTCTCTGGCTGAGCCAGTATCTATGCTGAAGACTGTTATGAAAACTACATATGTTTACTCTTTACTCCTAATCCACCATGAAATAAAAATATGACCATTAAAGTAGTCGATTGAGTTATTACCTTCGTCCCTTTTCAAGTTGAAATGGGCCTCACACGATGAGCACACCGGTCATTGCTTGTCAGGTTGACGAAATCGTTTGATTAATTTCGATTCACTTCCCCCCTGTTGTGTTTTTAACCACCACCGAAGTATACATCATCCTCTGCGCCCCCTACCTGCGTACCCCTCTATGTTTCGAGTTTTACATCCGGTATCGCAGTTAGGCATTCCATTAAACAGCTGGTTCCCGGCACGAAACGAAATGTGTTTATGCCCGGATTCGAACCTACACCACAACCACTTGTGTTCCACTACCAGAAATATATTTTCTTTATTACATTAGCCGCGCGCAGCAAACTTGAACTTGTTTACTGAAAGCTCATTTTAGGCCTCTGTGTGCTTTATGCGTACCTGCGTGAGATGCGCTTCACACGTCACTATTAGGTGATATGCTCTTTTGAATATGTACGTCATTACCTTGAATGACGCACAACTTTTGAGGTCTTAGGTGGTCCCTTTTTAAAAAAAAGTTGTGCCGAGCATTTTACATGTGTGTGATGTCATCGCTGGGCATTTGTGCACGGAAACCGCCAGTGTGAGGATTGGACTCGTCAGGTGTGTGCTGATGATGAGGTTGGAACTACTTGAAGCAGCGCCTTATACATTAGCCATGTAGCGTGACATTGCAAAAAGTATTATTGCTTTTTTGGTATTGTATTGGTGCACTCTGAATTTGTGGCTTCATTTATTATTCGGGTGCGGCATGAGCTACAGCCCCGAAGACATTATGCCGATCATCAGTTATCGTAGTTACCTGCGGTGTCAACTTGAAGATCTTTGAGAATTAACGTGTATCATCTAAATTCAGTAGGCACTGCAGCGGAACAAAAGCACTTTTTTGTGCAAGGCCAGTATTTGAAGATCGTAATGGCCATAACGTGTGAGTACACAAACGTTGTACACAGATATCACTGAGATATACGTTGCTGGATATCAAGGTTCGCCCCCTAAGGCCTACATAGTAATAAAACGACTATACACTTCTCACCAAGAACAACATAAGATATAAAATTAGTGGATCATTTATTATGCAATGCAGTATTTATATTTGTATATAATTTTTTTTAGTACACAGTCTCGTGTCGTTCCGGTTTAGAAAGACACAGTCGTGTCTTCCTACTTCTAAATAATTTTTAGTCTGTTCAGTAATAAGAGATATGAAGTTGAAAAATATCTTCCTTTCTCTGCAAGCTCGCTTTGATCATGGTCCCTGATGGCAAAGTTTTGCCTCGAATCGGGTACTGAAACGAATATGCTCCGCTTACCGTAATTGCATACAATAATAATAATTAGGAACTGGTTGAAAAGCTAAAACTAATTTTTAAAAGAGCTAAAGGTCGACGTTTAAAAAATCTGTGAAATTGGTTAAGACAAACAGAAGGAGGGTAGAAAGTGGCTAAAAAATAATTGACACTGTTCGATATCTTATTTATTTCGGGTTTATCCGAATTATTAGTATTTTACCGTAATTTTTGCCGTTTTCTGTTCTGTTGTCATAAGTTTTGCTGTTTTCTTCCAATTCATTTCACTTGCTTCCTAAACTATGCTAATTTGACCTATTTTTTTTAATCTTAAATAAGGAAATACTGACACTATTGTATTGTGAAAAATTTTCCGTCAACCCCAGAGGCTGAGCCCGCTAATTACTTAATAAAAACGCTGTCGCTGTGTAGTTTCGTATCACTGTTTATATTTAGATTTTTGGTGGAAAGCGATTAACATAACCAATGTTCAACTATGGCAACTTAATTTATTCAATAATGTTACAATGTAATGTTGTTGCAATCAAATCTCTTTACGTATTATTATTAGGCTTTGAAGAAAGATATTTGACTTTTTCTCTTCTTCTGGCCCCACATCGACGAACTATACAGAACATCCTAAAGTACATTTATATTTTTGCGTTTGCTGACCTTTGTCAAGATCAAGATTAAAAGCTTGTCTCTGCTATGGTCAAAATCAAGCTGATCAATGAGCCTGAGGTAGACAAAACTGTTTCACACTTGGTTTAAAAGGCAGCGTAAGGAAGCTGCTTGTTCGCCCATGCACTCTGCCGAGTAAAAGCTAACGACGCAAGTTTTTGGGTGCGAAAAAACAACAAGAACAACAAAAATAACGTTGAAAAGTTGGCGGTGTAGTCTTTGAAAAACGAATTTAGTTCTGGTGTTCTTTTGACAATGGGGGCTCAGCAGCTTAGTAAGGGTCGTGTCTCTGATGGTGCATTGGATTTCGGTTTCCTCTGTTTATTCACATAATGCAACACATAATTCACTGCATCATCGAACAGCAGTGGGATTTTTTAAGTCCTGGGGAGCAGCTTTCCAAACTGAATGCTAAACTTCAGAGCTTAACATCTCTCTGCGTAAGAACCCTAAGCAATCCATTGCTTATCTCTGCACTACATTTAGGGAACCAAGTTATTAGCTCAGTCGTCACTACAGCAAATAATGGCGGTTGTGTTCGTGTATTATGATTAAGTATATTCTGTATTTATTTTGCATGGTTCGTCTGCATTCAAAAGGTTGTAATAGCCAGTGTATACAGACAGATAATAGAATTAAGAACCTTTAGTTTTTCTTTTTTTTTTTTTATCTAAACTGCAATCAGCAAAGTCGTTCATTGTTTAATTTCATATGAGTGTCCCGTGACCTGCCTAAAGTAATCATGTATACAAATCTTCTTAAAATGTTACATTCTGAAGCCAGGCTATGCTTTTAAACATCCCACTTTGTTGGGCAACTTCAAATTGTTCTGGGTGTGCAGCTCAACCCATTTGTGTACCCACTTTTTTCGTCTTCTACCCTATCTAAGTCGTACAATATGTTATAACTGGTTTAGAATGATTGTGTTAGCGAAGTAATACGTTGTTTGATAAAAAAAAAAAGTCAATTTCGGTACATCCAGTATTTTGATTTTTCTTTGACTTCTTTAGCTGTTTCAAAACTTATTTGTTTGTACTTCTAAGTAACGTAACATTATTATAAATAGATCTAATTAAAAATGTTTGTTTTTCGGAACATCCTAAAAGGTTGTTTGCATAAACACAACGCAGTAGTATACCTAAAACTGTACTCTACTCCTATGTAATCTTTAAGCGCAATCATCGTAAAATGATAAACGCGGCGACTGAGTTATCGACTGGTGCTACCTAGATGTCTGCTGGACATCATCTGTTATAAACAAAGCCTGTCGTAAGCAAAAAGCGTTTTTGAACAAATATTGAAATCATGTAAATTCAATTTCAAATTACTAATCGGTCTAGCGACCCCGTAATGAAAATGCGTGAAACATTCAATTTAGAAGTTGCTTTTTTCTTTTAATTTTTGCATTTGGTGCCGTTTTCAGTTGCTTCTAGATAATTAATAGATTAATATATTATTTATTGGTCTCATGCCAACACCAGTAGTGCAGCCTAAAGGTAAAAATCGGACATGCAAGAAGTACTCTTTGTAGTGTTGTTGTTTCCATCATTGCATTGTTCAAGAACTTATACAAGCTTCGTATGCAACTCGTCATAATTGTTTTAAGATCTGACAAATCATTGCCTTATTTCAAAGATTTAGTAAATTCTCCTAACCTCTCTCGATCTTCGTCGATTGGAGAAAAGCTGCTTTTCTCTTTTTGCCCACCAAGATACCTTTCATTCTCCTTTCTTTTAAAGCTTGTACTTTTGCCAACAGTTTGTGTATGTTAGTAAAAGTAAGCGTATATGTGTGTGCTTGTCGGTTAAGCTTAACCAATAGCATAATCATACAAAAGATTATCTCTCTGTGCTGCCAAAGAATGTACTTCAAAGTCTAGATAACTGAATTGGCGTATTTTTGGTATGAACACAAAGTTCTACATTGGTGATCCGCAGACTCAAGTAACATCGTTGAACTATGATCGTTACAGGATCGTAAATCATGCTGCATCACTTAACAATCTTTGGATTTTTTTCAACTGAAGACTCAGTGAACCGAAGAGTAACAAATAGACGCTTGTATGTTGCTGTCGTCTTTACTAGATACCGAATTTCTTTAGAATTCACCGAAGACGCGAAAAGTAAGTGCCCTCATCGTACCTATATGATTGCCCTTAAATTATAATTTGTTTAAAGTATGAACATCATTTCAGTGGGTAATACTATAGGTATATGCTGGTGACGTATCTTAAGACTAGTGTCAATGCTTTGTTATTTCTCCACACTTACTGTAGACTACGCGGTAACATCTTTGCATATCTAGATGGCATCTGGGGCAATCTTTAGAACTCGATGGTTTTAACCGAACATGCCTAAAGGTTAGTGTATTCCCAGATTACCGCTGGTCCGCCGTGTAAATTCGTATGTTTGTGCTAGAAAATAATCACATCACATGACCCAATGAAAATATGGGTATAATACGAGTATATTGACGCTAATACCTACTGATCACTGTATATATTCGGACAGTTCGACGGATAGTTCCGCTGAATGCAGGTATTCAGTAGTGTATCTGAAGAATAAAGCTGCGATTTGGCAATAATAAAAACGGAAAACCAAGTAACGAATTGGGTATTTTGCTTTGATTTACGGTCATCTCTACTGGTCTTTCGTGTTCATATGATTCACACTGCACTCAGATAAGGGTATCTGGTTGAAATAATGCGACGTTATCGGCCTCCTAAAAGAAGCGTAGATTTCCGGTCTTCACCCAACAGCCGGTGTAGCTTTAGATAACTGCTTAGATTTATGCGAGATTTCTATGCATCAACAAGACCATAAGTCACTAGTATATCGTGATAGCAGTAGGGTAAATAATGCATGATACGATTATTCGACTACGAACAGAGATCGGAATTTTATCAGGTGAGACATTAGCGTAACCGATATACTAGCAATAGCTCGAACCTTATCAAGGTGATTCAGCCCTGAAAAATGATTTTACTTTTCATCACTTTTCCCTGATAAATTTTTTTCGATATCAATAGTTTAGCCGAGGAAAAGCTCACAGTTCCACCAGTGCCATTATTGTTAATTATATGGTACATGATCTACACATCGTGACCTAAAAAGAGAGGGAGACCAATTTTTATTTCATGGTTACTTTCTATAGTCGTTAAAGCTAGACTGAACTTGACGATTCTTATTAAACATGTTGAACACGTGAATATATTGAAGATGGTAAAATAATAATAAATTATTAAGTCTGAACTGAACACAAAGCAGCAAACCATAGCTAATGTTTTTTTTCGGTGTGAAATTAAAGTCCTACCAATATTTTTCGTTGAAAAAACCTTTGCTGTCTGCCTGAATTCAGTCACGAACGGTTTTGCTACCGCTATTCGAGTAACATAAGATGAATTGTCGAGAATGTTTGCACGAAAATTGTGTATTGTTCAAATCGTTTTGGTTCTTCGTACAGTTAGCATTGCCAATTATGTAGGGCATAAAAAAATTCATTGTAATCGGCAGGACATGATGTATATTCTAAACTTTTTTTCGATCAGTAAGGAATATGATCACAATATTTCAGTTCTAATTATAATATCCAAACTAAGTTAGTTAGGTAAGATCTGTTTGCTTTATGGACTCGACAGCTTGAAGGACTTGGTATTAACATGTGCTTGCTTGTATCAGATAGATTTGTACCTCTTTCTATAGTTTATCAAGCTTCGACAGCCCTCTAAACTTTGCAAATGGAATCTCGCAGATTTAGATTACATAGCCGACAGAGTACCACCACACACATATCGAGATGATATTCTAAAACCCTGCAATTAGAGTGCGCTCATCTAAGGTGGGCAGGAAAGAGAAGTCATGCTGGGGGATGCCCGCTCGAGGTCCATGTCATTTTAAACATATGGCGCATCAAACGAAATCGGAGAATTTGTAACTGCTTCGGAGAGGGGGGCGGTTTATGCTGTGATGCTTTCTTTTAGAGGTTGAGCTATGCTGTTAAGCTTGATTATTCGATGTGCTCGTAGCGCAGTGGACCTGCCTGATACGCGACATCAGTCATATAGGCTCGTTCCTTTGATTCGCATTGCAATATCTAGATTAGAGCAAATTAGGTACGTACAGATGGGCAGTACACTTTAATAGACCAAAAACTGTACGCGAGTCATAACTGTCGCTCTCTTCTGTACACCGATAGCAATTGTTTCATGGAAGTTGGTTCGACAAGCCCCAAAAGTCGCAATCGGAAAGAGGACGATTCCGCGCCAGACCGGGTTCAACAGGATATAGCCGAAGGTATAAATATGGAAAACCGGAAATCATTAGTAAAAGAGCATTATCTATCTCTGCCTAGTTAGACTAGTTGAAAACGACTCTTTTTGACAAAAGAATAAACAGCAAATCAAGATATCTTCGTATTACACATGATAGATAAGTACTAAATTACGTGTAATTCTAAGACATAATACCAGTTAGCACACACAGAGTGCGTTGCATGGAGACAGCCGTATATTGCGTTAGAAATTGTCTTGCAGGCTGCGCCGTGAGATAGCCATATAGATATTACGACGCAAATAAATTAATCTGGTTAGTTATTTATTTAAGCTGTTTTTGTTCTTATATATAAGTTAAGCTACATCAATTGCGCGGTTAAAGTCCTTCCTCAAAGCAAAAAATCTTCATGCTTTTAATTAATAGGGTCTTACAGGAGCTACGTAGTGCGTCATAGGAAACATTGCAACTCATGCATTGTATTGTTAAACGATTGAAAAACAATGCAAATATATCCCCGACTTGTCTAAGCTTTTTATTCAATTAACTTAATCGATCTTCATTAGGCAGCCTAACCTGCTGTTGTCTATGTTGGAAAATCTGATCCCGTGAAAATTAACAGTAAATTACCATAATGTGAATCTCCAGTGTATGATCGTAGCCTGCACGACGCTTATTAGCGCACGGAGACAATGTATTATTATCGGTTAGGTATTTGTATCAGAATTTTGTAGTATTGTATGTCATTCGGAGCAGTAACGCTGCCTCCCCCTAGGTATTCCTAGTTGCTCAATATAATTGTATTGTGTTGGCGTCATTATTCTGGCTACATGGTTTATCATCGCAAACCCAAAAAAAGTGAAGCTTAAGTAAACCTATTTCCGATTGAGGAGAATCAAGGGGGGCATATTTCAAAAGCATATTTTTGCTGATGGACTTCTAATAGCTACTGCCCTTCAAACCTAATGATTTCTCGGTTCGCAGTTACATATAGCCGAGATCATGGTAGCCCTTCTTTATCAGACTGCACTGCGTCAAATAATTTTTATTTATATAAGTACGTATTACCTTACCTCTATTTCTTAGTAGAGCACGAATAACCATAACATGACATAAGTCGAACAGTCGCAAATTTTTAATAGGGTTTTTAATAGAAAGGCGATCATAGCTGTACACATGAGATCCAAAAATTTAGCTGTCTCTCCAAGCAGCTTTCATAGCATCTTTTACATTTCCCAGATGTGCGAGGATCATAAATTCACTAGAACCTGTTTGAAATGAATAAAAAGTATGTGAACCTCTTCCAGTCAATAATTTTAAAACTAATGTCATCACAAAAAATACAATCAAACGCGGGCCAACTAATTTTTTTTTAATGCTTTGTACTTTATTCGTGTGATGCAAACTATTTAAACTCGGTTTACCTTTAATACATGTGTAAATACTTTATTACACGTCTTTTTAATATGGTAGTCATTTCCTACCTGTGTTGATCTTAGTTTTGTGAACGACTTCTGAAAAACGCATATGAGTAGACTCGATAAAATCGAGCAGTTGTTGGGCCATCGTGTAGATCACGTGAATAACAGGGAGATGGAAATTCGGTAAACAGTTCCCAGTGGGTCCGGTCGCTTTTCGCAATAATGCCTTCGTCTGCTGAGTACGTTAGCCTACTCCGCCGATCCTAGCGGTTTCTTTGGTGCTGTGGCACCATCAGCGCGAGCAGTTTCGTAAGCTCAATCCGCTGCCAGGAGAAAACAACTTCGGCTCTATTCAATGGCCTCAAAGAAATATAGTTCTAAACCAATGCAATAGGTGTTATTATTTCAAAACTTTTTTTTTTTCTTTAACTCTGGTAAAACCCAAAAACGTGTACTGCCTGTTAATATAGTTGCTGTGGAAGAGATTTATTATTGTTGAACGAAGATTGATATGCAATATCAGTTGTCATATTGCAAGGGAAATTTTATTGTACTGACGACTTTTTTTTACGAAACGGAAAAAGTGTCTGCGTCACGATAGTCTGTTTATTCATTTCGTACTCTGAACAACAGACCTACGTTGACGATACACGGCGAATTGAGTCACCAATGACGTGCATGGCTTCGCTATGACACAATGCATTATCTAATTTCTGCACGGATTGCCTTCAAGGTGTAATTCTTACTTGGCGTTACAAAACGATTCACCATAAGTAACAGAAACTCGCCGCTGGGGCTTGAGCCTTTAAAACAATATGGAGTCCTGAGTTAAAAGCTCCATGAATTTTCTTGTAGTTGTTTTCAACAGCACTGATTTTACGGCAGATGAGTCAAGAAATCTTTGTAACGCACTGACCGTTCAATTACCGAAAAGAGTTTGAAATGATTCAGAATTTTGAGGTTTCCTATAACAAACAGTCATATAATTCTATTTTCATAGAATCACCTTCCAACACTTAACACTGAGTTGGACACAGCCATTAAGACTGACTAGCTGTGAGTTTTACCGCAGATCTTTTATTTTTACTTATCACGTTATTTCAATCGTTCTTTGTGAAAAAAAACTATGGCTACAGCTTTAATCGATCTATTTCCTATAGTTGGCAAAATATTTGGCTAGGAACTTGCCAATTTAACCTCAACGTTGCTTGTGGCAGTGGCGCTGCTTACTAACGTTTTACAGCTAGCTGGCTTTTTTTTACATTTTTAGTCACATTTAACTAAGGATTTTTAGCTGGGAATAAATAAACAAGTCCAAGTAGTGATCTATTCGAAACATAAATAGCAAAAGAAGTATTTGATCCAGTCTGGTGTAACGTGTGTCGTTAAACCTTTCGCATGTAAAATTTGCGGAAAATCATTGAAAAGCCTGCCAGGATTATTAGTTGAATTGTCTAACCTATTTTGTGACAGCAGCGTCGAGAAGTTTTTTATTTTGCTTAAAGGAATAACGCAACGATGAAGGTCGCATCGAAGAAAGTACCGCAGGTCTGATATCTCTAATCCATGCACGTAAGTATTAGACATCAATATACCTGAAATATCGTATTTTGAAATTGGCGTTTATTCGATAAGTCTTTAGACATTCAAGTTACATGTCAGTCGTCTAACTATATATATATATATATATATAGTTCCTATATCTTTTGTTAAAATGAGTAGCTGCGTGTATTTATAAGTCGAAAAGTGTCCGTTATTGGATTGCATGAAGGGGAAGACTTTTAGCAACTCTATCTCTGGCCACTGGTAACTGTTACTTGTCTGATGTAACTGGTATTTGGCTGATAATACTCAAATAATAGACAATTCATACAGTTAATAAAGCCAACCCTTCTCACTGATCTAACCGCATTAGTTGCGGCTTTGCGAGTTTAAAAGTCGTGTCCATGCTGAGATGTTTTTTAGAATGTAATAGCCTTCTTATTTAGTAACCTGAATTTGCTCTAATTGCTTCGATCTTCGTTCTTAGACTAAGCCATTCTTATGAGTATGATTTAAATCTCTAGATAATCTGTTTCAAGAAAAGCTATTGATGTTATTTACCTTTTTTTTTATACCCCAACACATTTTATTGTGGTATAGAACACCTCTATATTTAGGCGAAAGAAAACTCATATTAATATTCCCATGAGGCCTTTGCCTAAAAATGCAGAGCTGTGAAATTTAGAACGTCAATCGTAATAAAAGAGTGGCTTAAAAGTCGATTTGAATATTTACGACAACGAGACATACACACAGTAACGAAACCTATTAACTGGATTAGACGAACTCGAAAGTGCTTCCTACAGTGAACCAATTTCTGTCAAAAAAATAACTCCTCTGCATTTTAAACCACTTCAACTTTTATTAGACTGCCCACCTCCACCCCCCAATCTCGGCGATCATCGTCTACATTGTTAAGCTCCGTCGAACCCTCTTCTGCTATGCTTGCAGACCTCTCCCTTTATTCATTAGCTCTGAAGCTCCGATTCCTGTTAATGTGACTGCTGTCGTGGGTAAAGCCATCAATGACGAATCTTTGATAATCGAAATCGCTAAAACAGGATCAGGTGCACTTATGATTTTTAAAACCGCCGAAATGAACTAGCATATGCCTTCTACCG